AAAATATTAAATAAATATAATGTAAATACATCAAAAGGATGCAGACAGTATAGAGTCACATAAAAAACAGAGTTAAATGATCTTATCCCTTTTATTTGAACCATAGCCTTACATAGCAAAAGTATCAGTTTTTAACTATTGATTTTTTTCTTCTGATGGTTGTCCTACAACTCTTAATAATATACACTTCCATTTTTTAAATTTAGCAACTCTATACAGCACTGATATCTTACTATGAGACATGTGGAATTTTAGCTAGCTTATCCTTTCCTTTCTCGTTTCCTGCCTTTATTTAACTGGAACAACATCAGTTTTGGTTACAAGTACTGTATAAGTGACACACTTCAACCTCTATAAGTAATACACTTCAACCTACTGTATAAGTAATACACTTCAACCTATTTCTGAATTTATTAACTTTAGTTAGTATGTTTTAACTAGTGATTCATTTCCAGTGGGGGAAATCACTTGTAAAATGGTTATTCTCTATACTCTTTGAATCATAAAATGCCACATTTATGAAGGAATGTTTCACTAGTAGCAGGTCTATCTTTAATCATTGTAATGACCTCAGAGAGATCTGTATAAGTAGAATGAAAGATATTGATATAAATGATGATACAAGTACATTAAATACTTATAAATAGACTACATACATTATAGAGATATGAGCCTTCCCAATTATATGTGCTCTATTTATTGCTCAGAATAATTTGTAGTGTATATAAAACAACTAAAAGTTAGTAATTGCTCTTACATTTTAAATAAAGAAACAAGCATAAACAGTTTATGGTCATAAAAAATCACTACACTGGTCACCTAGGTTTTGTTGTGTTGTGTTTATATCCATTATCAACTTCTCTTTTTATCTTGGCTATATTAACTGAGAAATAATTTTGCCATCCCCCAGCCTCAGTTCATGAGCTTCCAAGAGAAGTTAATCACACCCTTGGAGTCATTAAGAGTATGACTTAGACCTGAGCCAATACATGCAGATTTCCCTGGCCACAGTGATTGGTTCCTAGCATGTTAGAAACTGATTCAGAATCTATAAAGTGCACCAAGATTTAGTATGGTAGCACTAAGATTCTTGTTTTATGAGATATCCCTGGGAGATGCTGACAGCCATCACATGAACAAAAGAGGGCACGCATCATGAAGAAATGAGTGACTGCTGCTCAGGTTGCTGGGGTCTTTTGAGGCATTTCCACTTGTGCTGCTCGTTTAAGTCAGCTAACATGGACTCTCTTTTTGTTCACCTCAGTTTGAGCTGCCTTCTTGTCTACAGTAATAATTGCACAGTTAATTGGTGGGAATCTGGACACCAGACTTTCTGCCAGGCAGATGCTGCACCACTGAGCTACATTCCCAGCCCTTGGATCTTCTGAATTTTAATCTAGCCTTCTTTGTACTCTGCCATGCTGCCTCTGAAATTAATGTCTTCATTAGGATTGAAAAACATACACCCCTCCAGATCTCTTCGCTATAACTCTGTCTCCCTTCATAGCCGATTGAAGAACTTTTAGAGGTGCAAATCCGTCATGTGAAATTCATTCATGAGCTAGTATACATACAGGTTTGGGCATGACACTCATATATTTGACATAGCAATATGGGTCAGAGACAAGCTAATTTCAGAAAGTTTGTGTTAAATAAAATTATTTTTATTTTAGGACAAACATTACTGGGTCATTTTAAGCCATAAGAACATGATACAGCACCCATCATGATGATGAACATACAAGAGTTATGTTTATTAAATTTAATAGTAAGGTATTTCTCTGAAATTCAAACAAGCTACTGGCAAAGAGACAATATTATAATTAATAATTTGCTTTTTAATCTAGAGGAGAAAATTCCTTTAATCTAAAATGTGGCTAAATACTAGAACACAGTAAAGAATATAAAAATACTAAAGCTGAAGAGGATAGTTCTTAAACAAGATTATCTGGCAGGAGATGGGAAGGTGAGTGAGTGTGTGACCATTCTAAAGTAGGTCTAGAGACTGCCAAAGGCTATCATTGTAAGTGATTTGGGTTTTTTATTATAGCAATCTCCATTTATCCATGGTTTTTCTTTTTGAAGTTTCATTAATTCATGGTCAATGGTAGTCCAAAAATAAATTTTAGAAATAATTCACTTTTTAATATTTTTTACAATATATTTTATAATTGTTCTGTTATTAGTTATTGTTACTCTTTCACTGTGCCTACTTTATAAATTAAACATTATCATGGGTATGGATATATAGGGAAAAATATAATGTAGGGTTTGGTACTATCCATGGTTTCAGGGATCTATGGAAAGTCTCAGAATGTATCCATTATGGATAAAAGTGAGACTACTGTATAATTAATTTCACATCAAAATGCATAACTTCTATTTTCCATGACACAAAAATACTTGTATAGCTTTATTTTTTTCTGTGCTGGGGATCAACACCTCATGCATGCTAGGCAAGTGCTCTGCCACTGAGATATGCCCTTGTGCCCATTATTCTTAAACTTCAAAGTCATACAAAGGTATAACTAAGAAAGGGAAAACATAAAAAAGTTTTCATTTGTTATTTTAATACACACTTCATGTACATATACTCTGTTTTCAAAAAGTTTGTATCTGGAAAGGCAAATGTATGTGTAGATCCAGTGTTAGCTGGATGTGAAATTGATAGAGGTAGGTGCAGAAGTGAAGAAGGGGCTTCAGCGCAGGTTTGGTGGTTCCTGCAGGGGGACCAGGAGAAGAGGTGAGACTCAATTAGGTAGAGCCAGAACCTTGGTTTTGGGGGGTTCAGGAAGAGGAAATTTTGTGGGAAGGCATGAAATTGCCACCCAGAGAGTTGTATTGGGGGCTATGCATGATTTAGTGTGAAGATAGATAAATGTTTGAGCATTTAGTCTGAAAATAATGGAAATTTAAATGATATTTAAGTATGATTTTCTTGTTGGTCAGAAGAGGAAAAGTGGGGATAGACCATAACAAGGGGAAGGAATGTGCATGTATAAGTAGACATATAAAGAGAACACAGTGTATGTTATAAACTAAGCTTTGGAAGCAAGTGAAGAAAACCACACATCACTGGGTGTGGTGGTGCATGCCTGTAATCCGGAGGCTGAGGCAGGAGGATTGCTGTGAGTTCAAGACCAGCCTGGACTACATAGTGAGACCCTGTCTCAAAAAAAAAAAAGAAAGAAAGAAAGCAAAGAAAAAGAAAACAATACACATGAAAAATTGTGCAAGTGGAAGGAAGTGATAAGCATCAGACAGTGCTAGTGGGCGGATAGTCCAAACAGAGAGTAGAGCTCATGGAAGGAGCGGGTAAAGTCCAAATGAGACCCAAAGAGCCTTTAGACTAGAATGTGTGAACTTGTGGGAGTCAAACATTCTTGCTTAATTATTTTTACTTTAACTGGAATTCATTGGGATTACTCTGCACATGATAAGAAATACCAAGACTGGGGAGGATTTTAGCCAGAATGGCAAATGTCTATTTCCTGGAAAGTCATGTTGCAAAACACATTTTATGATTGAGACACTATTAAAACATGGGTAGAGCTGTTTGATAGGCATTGCCAGTAGTGACCTTGTATTGACTTAAAGAGATACGAAATAAACTTATCTCAAACGCCCCTCAAGCTTATGCTGGACAGCATCACATTCATCCTCAGAGTTTGCATTTTTAATAGTAAACTACTGAGAGCGGTTGTTCTGAAAGCAGAAAGGCTAAACCTTCTCTCAGCTGTAGCTGCATGGTTCTTTCCCAAGCTCATTTGTGCTTTAGTGGTTTTGCTTTGCTTGGCCTTTTACAATTTGGCAGCTCAAGAAGTAAAAATGAGGAACTCAGCAGATTTTTAAAAAAATTTACTCCATATGTTCCTTGAATGTTAATATTTCTTGGACAGGGATTCCTGATGTCCTAATTAATTGTTGGTGTTCTTTAAAAGTAGTCTTTAGCATTTGTGAATCTGCCCAAGGCTTTTAATTTGCATTTATTATATTTCTATGACCAGGTGAAATGTGAGTATTTGGAGACTTCCTTGAAAGTTGCTGAATTTAGTGGCAACTTTGGGGTGGCAGATGTAAGAAATGTCAATGGGCAAAAAGAAAAAAAGAATAGTGTTGCCATTTCTTAATCTCTTACTCCCATCTATAAGATCTGACTTTTAAAAATCCTTTGTTGCTTCACTATACATTGTCAACTGCATTTGAAGTAATTAACACCAGAGATACAATCCTGTTGTCACATATGATTATTGGACAGCTATTTTCTTCTGGGATATCTGACAGTTGCCCAAAATGTTGGTCTTAATCTAAAACCAAAAAAAGACCTTTGACATAGTGAAAGCTACCAAAGTGGCATTTATTAAATATAAATGATAAGTGTCTAAAGAAGAGGTGAAGAAAGAGCACTAGTTCTCATCTCAAAGAGAAAATCCTCCCAGCACAAAAGGAAATTACATTAGCTCTTAGCTGAAGCTCCATTAGTTTCATTTGTCATATGATGATTTAAAGATGTGTGCATTCTTATAAAGCATTACATTTACACTGAGAAATAAAAAGTATTCTAACCCTCAAGTTCCAACTCATCTGCCAAACTCACTATAAACACAAGGGCTTCTGTTAGTCTGTTATCTGGAAAGTGACTTGTCTGAGGAAAAAAAATTAAATGATATTGATTTGAAATGAAGGAAGCCCATTTATGTGCATTTTATGAACCCTAAGTGAATCAGCCAAATATATGCACTGAGAAAAAAAAATCTGTTACCCTCTGGGTAATAACTTGTAATAAGCTAGAAATATGAAATCCATTAATAATATTAGAAATTAAGTGCCTAATGAATTGTGCCCATTATTGGAGATTTTCTGTGATAACAATTCCTTAAAAGCTAGAAAATGCCCATCACTATGACATAGAGAAAAGATTTCATTAAAGACACCAGGAATTATCTCCAAGTGGCATCATATTTCATGTGATTAAAGAAAGGCCAAGTTGTGGTACTTACTATGTGAGGACTATGGCCACTGCATCATTGAACACACTCTCCCCAAACAAGAGCGTATACAGGTCGGGGTCGACGTGTAACTCATGGAAAATGGCCAGCACTGTCACTAGGAAGACACACAAAAATGAAGCATTAGCTGGGACATAGCCATGGAATTTTCCTTTCCTGAAAAGCATTCAGGAAATTCTGATCTTCTAAAATCCATCCTTTATACCAACAGTAGATCTTTATTCAAAAAAGTCTGATTATGTCATCTTCTTGCTTAGAGATTTCTCTTGGATCCCCAGTGCTTACAGATAAAATTTGAGCTCCGTATGTGTCCTATGCAATTTGTACCCTGTTTACCTTCCATCAACTTCTGTGTCTTCACCCCTTCCCCACCCTTTGCTGCTTCCTTCAAGCCGCTCTGAATTTGCTATAATTTTGCAAACATGCTGCATAATTTCTTGATTACTTGTGCATTTTGATTCCATCTAATAAGGCAGCATTTTTGTCATCCATCTGCTACCACTCTCAATTGCATAAATACACATTCTTCTTGCTACAAATGACCCATTTATTCATTTTTAAGAGCCTCTCAACTGACCCCTTCTCAACCCCTTGACTTCTTTAGCAGTGACCTGGATCATTCCTGTATGATCCTAGCATTTGGATCAAATCACAAATTTATCATAAAAGGGACTGTGAGATCTTGGGAGAGAGAGTCTATCTTTGCAATACATGATATTGCCTGGCACTCAATAACTGTTTGATTCATGAATGACTTCATGAATAAATGAATGAATACTGTTGCAGTGGTGGAAGGGGTGCTTGGTACCTGGCTCTCATTCACTCCTGAGATCACATTCATCTATAAGGATAGAATCAATGTCCATAAGAGCAGGGCTTGTTTCCTGTGACCTGCTGCATGGTTACTATATGCTACGTACCTGCACTGAGCCCCTGTGAATACATCAGGATGGTAAATAATCACAGACTGATTATCTGTGTTCATCAAAACCATTCAGTGTCTTGATATTTGAAACAGTTATGCAAAGTGTGAACAGCAGTCATTAGGAAAATGATCCATTGAATTGATTGCCAAGGGGGAAAGAGAGTGGTTGAAAATGATACTGATGGTAAATTTTTAAGGCAGAGGATATTTTCATTTCTGTTCTTTCCTAGTTCATGGACTGTGAGGATAGTAACTATGCTGTAAAAGAATGCTACTGGGAAAAAAGCAAGAAAGGCAAGTTGAGTTTTAAGGTTTTACACGTACAACCAAGAAGACTGGAGCTTGCCCTGCCTGCCACAATAGGGAAAGATGGAAGGGTTTAATAAGGGGGATGACAGTTTGATTTGGAAATAAAGCTCAGGAAGTGGGGCAGGGGCAGAAGGGCCATGTGACTGGAGGTTTGCCATTGGTTGAAGTAAGAGGTAACCTGTGCCAGGATAGAAAGAGGCTTGGATGAGGCCCGTAAAGTCCTGCACACCCACCACCCTTGGTGCTTGCCAGTTAGGGACCAGTGTTTTGTTCTTATTCATTGGATCTCATCTTCCCTGTGTGTCATCATCCTGTAGCTCAGTGCTGCAATATGTCAGCCTTTAATGAGAGGATGAATAAGAGGTAATGTCAGTGAGGACAGAGCAGAGGAGAGACATCTGATGGTGGGTCTCATGCTTAAGAGACAGAAAGGAGGGGCTGGATTTCCATCTCTTTTGAGAAATTGGGTGACTGTATTTAAAAACAATGCAATATACACTTAAAAATTGCTAATTGGGTAGATTTTAAGTGTTCTCACTACAAAAAATGATAAGCATGTGGGATAATACACACACTAACTCTGAGTAGCTTGATTTAGCTATTCCACAAAATTTTGCATATCCCCAAACATTATTTTGTATACCATAAATACATACAATTATATTTTTCAATTTAAATACTTTGTTTATTTTTCTTCAATGCTTATTTTAAAAAGAAGCTACTACAAGAATACAAAAAGAAAAAATAAAACAACAAAGAAATATCATGAATTGGCATGACAGTTGGCTAGATCCAATTTTTTAAACAGGCATACAATCAATTTCATTAATCATACTAGGTAAAATGGCAGAGATCTATTCTGCTAATGTGTAGCTGTTAACATTTGCCCCAACCCTTTGCCTTTGTAGGTGGTGGTAGAAGGGAGCAGCAAGTACTTCTGTTAAGTCGTTTCTTTCTCCTTCTTGGATAAAATCAAGACCCTGTTCTTAATCAAAACAAAAAGGTTTCAATTAGGGTTTTAGTTATCAGCATTTTTCTTTTGCTAGGATCACGTGGAATAAAAGTAATTCTTTAACAGAAAATTCTAGCATGGCAGCTATATTTTTTACTTTAATCTCTGTTGCCATTTCTTTGTAATTTTGAGCTCTGAAGATGACTTTCCACTCATTTCCGTCCTAGGGAGTTTCTTAGGCTATGAATAGGGATGCAACGCCTATGGTTCCTTTCTCTACTTTCCAATTATGGAGTCCACTCTTACAGGGATGGATGCATCTTTCCAAGGAGAATTTTTAATTTTCAGCTGAAAGTCTTTTAATTAAATATCCAGTTTGGTTCAGAACTTCTCTGACAGTCCCACAATTCCTTTTGAACAATGAACTGAACTCCATTTTATAAACTATATCCCACACAAAAGAGAAATCTATTCCTTTGCGTATTCCTATTTACCCTGTGAAGAAATAGAACAGCTTCAAAATAAATCCATACACTGTGGCCTACAACAGGGAGTATTTTGTCAAGACCACAAATGAGTCAAATAGGTGAGTCAGGAAACTAGCCACCCACTCCACTACTGAGCTTGGAATTTTAAAAAAAACACACTTAATTAGTTCACTGGCAGGACTCAATCTTACACTCAATGTCCAAGGGCATCTTCCTGGAGGGAGCTAGAGAAACACAGGGTGGACATGCTCAGTGCAGCTCTGCACACACCTTGTGACATTTGTCATGTCAATGCTGGCCCAAGGTGAAGAGCAATACCTCTTCAAGATGGGCCTTCTTGTGATAGCATGAGAGCAGCACTATAGATGCCATATGGATGAAAAAGATAGAAGATAAAGACACAGATTTCTTAAATCTCTGATTTTGCTAAGGGATTTGGTCATTTTGCCTTTATCATTCATTAGGTCTACCTGGCTTCTCATGTAAGGTTGCTTCGCTTTTGGCTTGGAATTCTTCCTTCCTTCCTGATATTTTAGCTACAGAAAAATATGCTTTGCCTCTTAAATTGTTAATAAGGACATAAGTGCATTTGAGCATCTTTGCTCAAACAGATGAAGACACACACAACACACTTTATTCTAAGGTAGTGGAAGAGTGTGAAAACTGAGTAACTGAGAAATGTCACTGAATTTTTGTAGATCTCTGAGAAAATAGTTTCAGCAGCCAAACAGCAAGGGTTATGGGGGAGGGAGGCAGTGTGGACCACACTTTTGAGAAGCTGGTGATGAGGGATACAGAGAAAAAGCCATAGCTTATGGTAATAAAGCCAAGGGAGCCTAGCTATCTAATTTTATAGATTGTATAGAGGAACCCAGAAGGAAGAGAGGTTGAAGACAGAAGTAAGAAAGGAAGATTGTTGGAGCAAGAGCTGGAAAAGGCAGAGGACAGCTGAGGGGCAGATGGGAAATATATTTCCTTAGTCAACAAGATGGTCTGTGAGAGCCAGAAGGCAATGGATGAGTCAGAGGCTACAAGAAGATGAGAGTGCATAGAATATCTGTAGGGGGAATGCATTCAAGGTTCAAGTAAATTTGTTAAGCTCATATATAAGATATTTCTCAATCTGCAAGAGAAAAACCCTAACATTGAAAAAATATAATTTGACTAATTTCTTCATTAACCAAGAGTCTCATACCCTACTACAATCTTATTATAGTATCAAAGCTAATCTTTTATCACATCAAAGGTAATAAACATACCCAGAGATAAAAAAAAAAAAAAAAACAGACAATGACTGTCTGACCCCTATCAGTAGCTCAACGTGTTGACTGTGAAATGATGTTTTCTTAAAATACCATGTCTTCAAATGACCACTTTCTTGATGCTTTTTAAATAATCTTTAAATCTTTAGGGTAAATTAGTGACAGCCACTTCCCTAGAATCTCTGTTAGCAGCTTTCTGATCCATATTTTCTTAGTGTTTTACAAGGAATTTAAATTTCAAATGATATTTTAATGTGGCAGCTCTCAGCAACCTACCACAGATTTGTCTTGGTCGATGGACAAGAAGACACAATAGTTCCTACCCCTGTCATTTTAAGTCATCATTCAGCCTTGTCAAAATGCTGTCTGCCCCTGGAGAGCCCACCCCATGGTTTTCTGTGCAAATGAGTATGAATGACTCTTGTCTGTGACACAGGGAGAATCAAATGTGTCTCTGGCTTCTGCAGCTGAATTGGTGTTAGGCCTGACAGGTGAAGAGCATGGCATTCTCATAAATGAGGCAGCATTCTTCCATTTCCAAAGATGATTATGGGAAAATTTTATTTTCTTTTCCTGATGGGAGGAAGGAGGAGGAAATTTTCCTGTAATTTTTCTCACCTTCTGAAATATTGTACATAGTGAAATTTTAAGGACAGATTTCTAAAAATGTTGTGATATTTGAGTACAAGCTGGAATACTGGAATTATTTTGAGCCAGTACCTTCTCAGTGAAGACCTGGGAGCAGAATCAGTGAATGGATGGGTCTCTCCAGCTAACCTCTGTTGATCATAATCCTAAAAATACAAGTAGAAAACCTAACCCTTCTGAACTAGGTCAAAGAAATGATTTGAGATCTAGAAAGCTGATCATTAGATTTTAATTCATTGAGATCACTGTAAATTAGAAGTTACACAAAATATCATGACAAAATATTGCGATTTTATTTTGAACTTCAATGTGATTTATCATTTTGGTACAAATCAATAGTGGAGATGAACACTATATGAAAGTACACTACTGCAATTTCTCACCCAGGGTTTCTTGGGGGAAACAATTTCTAATGCCCAAGACAATGGTTTCAAAATATGACCAGGAACCCCTGGGGGCTTCTGAGACTTACTCCGGAAGGTACTTGATGTCAAAATCATTTTCACAATGATC